AACATCAAACTGAACACAAAAGGTTTCAGCCATAAGGGTATCCAAGAAAACAAAAGTTTTCAGGCATTCTTTAATACACATTGAACTATGTAATAATTAGTTGTTGTGGATTGATTAATTTGTTGTTATGTTTGTACTACTTATTTTGGATTAAATTTTGATGAGTTTGATGTTGAATTGTTGCTATACATATGCAAACTGTGAAGAAGAAATATGTCGTGCGGCTCCTGTTGGAGATACACATTTTTTTGCTGTCCTAAACTTTACTCTGAGCACTTTTTTATACCCTAAAATAGAACTATTGTTGGAGATGCTCTAACTACCCCAAAATTTGACCTATAAATTGTGAGTCATAGCCACAAAGTGAAACATAACTCATATTTTATTTGTCAAACTTGTGGTCAACTTTTCGCAAAAAGATGTGGTCAAATTTTGGCATAAGATATAAGATTTGAGGGGACTAATAATCCCGAACGAGGAAAATATGGATCATCAAAGTAGCAAAACTTTTCTTTTTCTACATTCAAAATCCCCGAACGCTGACCAGGACATCATTCATTGATTTGTGTGGAAAAAAAATACGTTTACATTTCAAACTAAGTCTGCAGTTGGTTGCTAAACTATACTGGCCCGGTACTGTGACAGCTGCTTTCTACGAAAGGAAAAGTCAAAAGATACAAAGAAAAAGGCAGTATACAACAAAGCGAGTTACCACAACAAAGTAACCTTTGAACGGGCACTCACTGCCACAAGCTTAACTTACCCAACCGTGACAGAAAAGTTTACCTTTCGAGGAGGGAAGTTTACAGTTACCCAGACCACCTGCTGCGAGATCTCTGCCACTCGCACGGACATCAGAAAATGCCTGAAAACTTTTGTTTTCGTGGATACTCTTCTGCCTCCTGCGAGAGGTTCGCATCGCCGGCTACGCCGAAAGTGACAAGATTCAGCCGGCCATGAGCATGCACGTGACGTGATTGTGTTGTCTCCCGGTTCAAAGCAATCTTTTTACGGACGGTGTACGTATACTATGAACTGTAATTGAGTTTACTTTCAGATTACTACTTGAATGTGTTTTTCCACGGCCGTGCAAGATGATGTGAAAAATGATTGCAGGATACGGGGCGGACGCTGCTTGGGTGCCGTAACTGCACCTGCAGTTGGGTCAATGGTATGTGGGCCAGCCGTCTGTTAGGCCCACATGTCAATGGCCCAACTGCAGGTGCAGTTACGGCACTGAAGTTCAGTCCGGGGCAAGATGATAGGCCAACGTATGGCCACTGATTTGCAATCATACGCTACCGTGCCTTACGCAGTAAAAAGCTGCTAGTGATCCGCAATCATAATACCCTGTATTAGTTTGTAGAAATAGAAACATGGAATATCAAGTACTCCCTCTAAACGATCTTTCTCATGTCTCCGAACAATAGGGAAAAACAACAACAAAACAATCAAAAACCAAAAACACAATCCAACGTAATCTTGATTACCGGATTTTGGGGAGCGCATAGAGCTATTTCTCACCCGTCTCCCATGAATTTTTTTTGAAACAACAACAATAATAATAATTCAACATAATCTTATTTTTTGGAGAAAAGGGAGTTTTATGGGGGTCCTTGACCAAGCCACGCACCAGTGGCCCGTTCATTACGACTATATAAACCTAGGATCTGCTATCCTATTTTGTTTTCTCATAATCTTCTGAGGAATAAACTCCCGGACAAGCATCTGTTACTTGATCTCTGCAACTAAGTGCTCGTACGTTGACCTAGACAATCTATTATCAGAGAGACTTCTGAAAAGGGGTTTCCCCCTGCTTTGTATTATCAGAGAGACTTCACAAAAGCTTCAGATGAATCAAACTGAACAATGATCTTGATTACCCCACCGGGGAATTTGGGAGCGCCAAGAGCTCAATCAATATCTCTCAATCATCTCACATGGAAAGCAATAGAAAAAGAAAACGACAATGAAAAAAATCAGGACGAATCTCCGTGCATACAAGTATGGCATGGATTGAGGTATAGCTATTTCTCAATCGATTGAGAAATAACAAACCCGCGAGAATCTTGGTAGAGCAATGAGGTTGCTGATGTAGACAACCATTTCCACCTTTTTCTTTTGAACCGCACATATTATAGTAATCAATAAATGGAGTACAGTAGCACATACACGTGAAAAATATCAGAAAAACCAAGACACGATAAATGTCCAAAAAACTTTACATAAATAACCCAAAATAAAACAGTATTACAAACAAGTCATGTTGTCCCTGCAGCCAACCAGATCTAAAACCGCCGTCGACCGTCAGCACCACCAATACGCACACCCGACAAAGAGATGTAAGACCAACAAACCGGAATCCAGGAGAGGGCCATAGCCTTGAAGCGTTGAGAGCCAAAGATCAGACCTGAAGAACATACACTTGGCAATGTGGCGTGCCGGTTGAGGAAGATCCCCACGCCAACCTGGATCTAAATTTGACACATCCATTGTCATTGCGAAGGAAGACCGCCAAACCCGCCACCGTTGTGCCACCAACCTTGAATCAGCACCAACATATCCAACTTGCCTGCGCCCCCAAGAAAGGCAGCAACCACCAGACAAGGGAAAACTTAAAGCCCACCGCTTCGAACGAACCGTGAGCAGATGAGGCCATCAACACAGTGTTGCCGTCAGAGAGAACATCACAGTGGTAAGGAGAGATCGAAGCCACCTTATTCGACGGAGCAGCAACCACATAAAACCGGCACTACTAGATGAAGACGAGCCCTAAACCAATGGACCAATTGGAAAACAAACGAGAACCCACCTCCCCTCCACCAGCAGTGGGAGCGGCGTACAAATAGGGGTGGGGATCACCGCCTCGCCGGTGTCCAAAGGAGCATAGGAACTGCAGCTTCTCTCTGTCGTCAAGGGGAGAGAGCGGAGCGGTTAGTGCTCTCATGCCATCCTTCTGATACATATATTGCAAAGCAATTTGTCGACGGTAAAAATACCTCGTGAATCTTAAAGGAAGCCTCTCTTTACCCTCCCACTAGTGATTGTCTTTTGGGTTTATAGATAGCTTCACATCACACATGCTATGTTGTCACTAGTGAAATCTCGTTGTGTAGACATCAGGCCATTTCTCTTCCAAAAGGACGACGACGCGCTCTATAGTCTTCATCTACCTCTTGACCCACTCGAGACGAGGTTAACATCACCCCATCCATCACACATCCAGACGTTCCACATTCATCCACCATCGCTTTCGCGCGACTACGAAGAGGACGCACGCATGAAAACACGCACATTCACATGAGCACGTCCACTTGGTCACGGACTGAGCCTGAGCACCAGTAACTCTCACTAAGCCCACAGTAACCAAACTCCCCCGCGGGTCCCACAAAAAGATAAATGCCCATGTGGGAGTAGATAAATAGCAGGTCCAAGTTAGATTTGTTTTACTATTTTTCTCATTTCACGAAGGAAGGATATTCATTTCAGATTCCCCTCAGCAAACCCGCCGGAGAGAAGCACCAAAAACAAATGGGTCGCCATCGGTCCGTTATTATGGCACCAGCAGCCAAAAAAGCTCACTCAGCAACCCCTTCTCCCCCATCCAAACGGCGGTCCTCCACGACGCGGGACTGGCCCGGCCCGACCCGACCCGAAAGCCCCCCTGCTCCAACTGGGCCACTGTAGCAGGTAGAAATAACAGGAAAGAAAACGTTTTTTTTTACCCCACCGCTCGTTTTCTATGCGGAAAAGAAGCCTTGTATACTGGCGCGTCGCACCTAATCTCCCTCTCTCTGGCCGGGTCGCACCTACTCCCTCCCCGACGGCTCACGCGATGCCAAGAGCGGGCCTTGGGAAACGTATCGATGCTTTGCGCACCCCGCTGTTCTCGTTAATAATGATCCGTGACATTATAGTAGTATGTGCAGTTAGTTAATAACCTGTCATTACAGTTTACAAGTCACATTTGCATCATGGTTGATGGCCTGGCTGACGGGTGGACGCGTGGGGGCTGTGCGGTCCGGCCAGAGTTATGGGATTGTACCGCGTAGATTTATTTGCTGCGTACAACAATGTTGTTGCCGCCATGAAAACGGTCGCGTCCCACCTACCGGATACAAGTACGCCACGAGCCTTCATGCCCTTTCGACCAAGTTTTTTTTAAATTCAATTTTGCAGTAATAAAATTCCGGTGAGGCTTGTGTGAATCATACGTATATCGAACAAAAAGACGTGATTAGACGACCGAACCATATAGTAGATGCAATTTTTCTTGTGCCAATGCATGGAGCCCAGGAGACGGACCAAAATGAGCCAGCCGTAAAGCATCGTCCATGGATGCACATTTTGTGCTGGTCACGCTTCATTTCCCAAACAATTTTTGCCGAGAAAAAAACCGAGGGCGCGATCTAGTTTAAGGTAAGATCCATTCCAGAGGGGCAAGGCCAGGATAGGGCGGAAAGGTTAATCTAAACTCTAAAGCAAGTGTGGACAGCGCGGCAGCGGGCCTTAAGAAATCGAGAAAGCTTTCGGAGCAAGCTCCCCACCACCACCCCCACCCCTCCACCCAAGCCAAAGTGGAGTGGACTCCCCCCCAAGCCCAAACTCCTCGCAGACCGGAGAGAGAAATTTTACAGAGAGAGGGAGAGGGAGGGACTGGGAGAGATCGCGGCGGGCAGGCGGGCAGGCAGCCCGTGTGTGTGTGCGTGCGGTCGCGTAATCGCTGTCGCATTCGCTCCTCCACCACCTCCTCTCCTCAGCGGCAGCGGCGCCTCCAGAGAAACCCGAGCACCAAATCCTAACCACCGCCTAATCCCCGTCCCCCGCCCCCCACTCGTCGCGGCGCTTCCACCGCACGCCAGATCGGCGGCGCGGGGCTAGATCCAATGCGGCCGCTCCTGCTTCTGCGCTAGTGGCTGCTGCAGCTGCTCCGGTGGCGGCGCTGGTTGGCTGGCTGCTTGATGCGGACGATCTGAAGAGGAGGAGGAGGCGCGGCGGGGATGGCGGCTGCGGCGGGGGCGGCGCCGAGCGGCGGCCCGGTGAGTGGCCTTCTCCCTTCCTCCTCCTGTGTGCGCTCTCTCGCTCTCGGATTCCTCGCTTGCGTTTGGGGGAGATGAGGTTATTTTTGGGGGTGATGGGTTGGAGTTTGGTATCTCATGCCCGGGCGGCCGAGAGATGCTCTGCTTTGGCGTGCGGACAGGCGTTTCACTGTTTTTGTTTGTCGAATTTTCGGGGTCGAGCTCTGGGAGGCGAGATGGCGTCAGAGGAGAAATGCCGCTCAGGGGTGGTGTCATGTGTGGCGGCTCTGATGTGGAAGGCAACAGGGCTATGGATGATGCGAGCTCGCAGGGGCAGCTCCTGCCTCTGGGTTTTGGCTGGACTGGAGAGACAGAGAGTGTATGTCCTATTACTCGAGCATAAGCGGATACGGATTTAATTTGGCTTGGAGTAGTAGCTGATTAGTGATTAATACGGCACATGAATGCCAATGGAACTGTTTGGGGGTGGTTACATTTAAGGAAAATGGACGCATTCTAGTGCCATACCGACGTTGAAACGAGGAACTGTTTGTGTGTGTCCAATTGGCTCCAGAGATGTGTGAGTTCACTGATTACTTTGCAGGCTGAGGGACGAGGCTTCATTCTTAAGGTGCCCTATGACTAGATAAACAAGGATTTGTAGTGCAGGGGGGAATTTAATTTTAGGAGCATGGTGAAGAATTTGCTGGAGCTTTTCCTCGTTTCGTTTTTGTGTGCATAGGGGAACAAGCTGCGTACATTCATTCGACTACTTGGATAGCTAGCTTCCACCCGTTTCACTATGAGAGACGTCTCATGATTCAGTTTGCTCATTATGTAATCTATCAGATATGTAGGTTCCTGTTGAGCTATCACTTTAACAGTGTTTCGTTTATCTGGGTAATGAGTACCCAGTTGACTGACTTCTAAGCATTCAAGATACTGTTATGTGTTATCATTAATTCTTTGTGCTGTCTCTGACATCAAAATTACCTCATAACCAGGTATTTAAGAGTGGCCCTCTCTTCATATCATCCAAAGGTAAATTTATTTACATCACACATAAGTTAACTATCCCTTTGGGGTCATAATATGCTGCTTGCCTTATTCTGTTTGAAGCAAAGCTACATACGCAAGTGTCTACATCGAGCATTTACATTTGCTTTTAGTACTATGTTAAAGGTAGCAGTAGTGATTTTCTTTCTCTTTGTTCTTGAAAAATCACCATCAAGAAGAAATGAATTATATGCAGAGCTAAAACATGTAGTATATCTTATTGATGCTGCTGCTGAAGGTTTCTCTGTATTAGTACAAAAGATAATTAAGATGGGGGCTAGACCAAGTCGAGTTGCTTGTATTTTATCGCTCGAGAAAACACGAAAGTCTTGTGCCTTGAATTGATAGAAAGAAGATTTCATAATTACAGCCTAATCCCCATACAACACTAAACAAGAGCACTAGTGCCCATTGCCAGGATCAGCCGTAACTCTGTCGCACCTGCTGTTTCCCAAGACCTTTCTTCCACCTGAATCTGTATGAGCAAGCACACAATATTTGGTTGGTTTCAGTCGAGGACACATGCATTCCAATGCTTCCAGATCAGCCATGTGGTGAGCTGTTTCATGGTTGCCGTTCCATCCCCTTGAACCATCGGCGCGGAGTTGATTGCCAACCTCCACCACTCAGAAATGTCGAGTTACTTGTATACACATAGTGAATCCGTTGGTTGAATTGGATTGTAGATTCGAGCTACAGATGGAGATGCATCAATTAATAATACCATTATGGCACTATAGTTTTTTTTGAGAATAACTTGTGGCACTATAGTTAGTTGTGTTTCCTGTCCATGTGGGAAAGTTCCACATGGGGCCCATTCCCAGTTTCCCCAATATGTTTTCAACATCACAGTCATCAATATCTGTTACAGGCCCAAAGTAAGAGAGGAAGCTATAGGTTCTATATTCTTTGTGACCAAGTTAGAATCCGTGTCATTGGTTTCCTTTTAATACCTTTTCTCTTATGAGTTCCCGAGTCTGCCATAAATTTTGAAGTAGTTAAGTTGTATCCTGATACCTGACTATGATTTCAGTTGTAGATCATCAAATTCAAAATTAGTACAATTAGCTAATTCCTATGAGATACTCGGAAACCCTAAACTGAATCTTGTATAGGGAGGCACTATAGTTAGTTGTGTTTCCTGTCCATGTGGGAAAGTTCCACATGGGGCCCATTCCCAGTTTCCCCAATATGTTTTCAACATCACAGCCATCCATATCTGTTACAGGCCCAAAGTAAGAGAGGGAGCTATATTCCTTTTAATACCTTTTCTCTTATGAGTTCCCGAGTCTGCCATAAATTTTTAAGTAGTTTAGTTGTATCCTGATACCTGACTATGATTTCAGTTGTAGATCATCAAATTCAAAATTAATACAATTAGCTAATTTCTATGAGATATTCGGAAACCCTAAACTGAATCTTGTATAGGGAAATTCTCATAGTTTAATTCTCATTCTAGTTATTCGATTTGTTTGATTTGTGCTTAATCCCTCTACTATATGGGTTATGGCATGAGTTTTGTCAATCTACTATGTACATATTCTTATCATTAAAAGCAAAATCAGAATTTTTCCTACTTATACAGTTTTATTTTGCTTTTACCTGAAAATGAATGTTGCTCGTGTGATTTCCAGGAATTGGATGGAAATCTTGGAAAAAGCGTTGGTTCATTCTCACCCGAACATCGCTGATTTTCTTCAAGAATGACCCTGTCAGTATTTTCATTTTTGTCCATGGTGTAGATGTAGATATTATGTATACTGGAAAGCACAAACTAAGCAGATTTATCAGACCAGAAATTATTTTTCGTTCTGCTTGTTGGTCCAATATTTCGGAACACGATCTAGTATAATATCCAGCTAGATGCTTTAACCACATTCCTTGATCACTGCCAATTTGTAAGTCTGGTTTGATGTTCTTACTTTTTTCATATGCCCTGACATTTATGTGTGTATATTGTATACCATGGTCAATTTCTTGTGTGAGTATACACTGTCTTGAATTTAGTGCTGAATAGCAGAATGGTTACTTAGGCTTTGCTGTTTTCAGTTTTCTTTTCAAGCGGAAGTTTTTTTTAGTTCAATCTCAGTGATGTCTTCTCAGCGCTTGCTGCTTGATTTGATTGCAGCTTTATTTCTTTTCTTCCGGTATTCACCAACTTCTCATGTGGTCCTTCACTTAGAAAGTAAAAAAATAATACCGAATTATGTTCAGTAGTTGATGCTTAGCTGGCGTAAACCTGCTTATTCTTGTTCTTGCCCCTACTTAAACCGTGAATGCTGTTTAATGGAGCTACTTGTTAGAATATTATACAGTCCATTCATTGGTCCATCACTCCATCGTATGAGTTAATTCTCACTTCCTTGACAAATGCTTCTTCTCGACATTGCAGAATTCCTTACCCCAAAGAGGTGGTGAAGTGAATGTTACTTTGGGAGGAATTGACTTGAATAATTCTGGGAGGTACGTGTCATAAAAAATATATTCTTTTGTTAATCTCTTGGTGCCTTTTGCAACAATATTGCTGTATTAAATGTTATTCATGGCCAGTGAAAAACAAGTCCTTGTTTTTTTTTTGCTGTTTTCCCAGTGTCATACTAACAGTATTTCCCGTTCACAGTGTAGTGGTCAGGGAAGACAAGAAGTTATTGACTGTCCTATTTCCAGATGGTCGTGATGGTCGTGCTTTTACCTTGAAGGTATATATTTTCCCATTTAAATTGGCAGATTCACTTCAGCAAATGCAACTTTATACCTTTTAATGCTCCTTCAAAAGCTATATAGAAGGGCTTGCTACTTTTAACAGGCAGAAACATCTGAAGATTTGCTTGAGTGGAAAACGGCATTGGAAGAAGCTCTTGCACAGGCTCCAAATGCAGCTCTCGTGATTGGACATAATGGGATATTCCGTAATGACACACCAGATGCATACGAAGGAGCAGCTCCAAATTGTTGGTTCCTCACACTATGTTATGACTTATTGTTGCTCATGACAAACTCAATCTCTGATTGTTCGCTCATACCTCTCCTCTGACGGCTGCAGGGAGAGAGAAGAGGCCTACCAAATCCTTGGTTGTTGGAAGGCCAATTCTTCTTGCACTAGAAGATATTGATGGCAGCCCTTCTTTTCTAGAAAAAGCTTTGTGTTTTCTTGAGAAACATGGTAAGACTAAAAAGAGTCAACTATCACTAATGTTTGGAACCGTCCGCACTTTGCACTTGGTAGCCGTATGCTGCCTCACAACCAATCTGGAACATTTAACCAGAAATGTGAACATCTTCTTGCAGGGATAAAGGTGGAGGGAATTTTGCGTCAGGCTGCAGATGTGGAGGAGGTTGACAGAAGAATGAATGAATATGAGCAAGGTTTATGTCACTGCATAGTTGACATTTAGAACAGTTCTGTTATTAATTGATGTTTTTGGTTTGGTAATTTTAATGTCATTGTACCTATAGTTCAATTTGGGCACCTGTTTCTGTTTTATTCCAGGCAGGACTGAGTTTGCACCGGATGAGGATGCTCATGTTGTCGGTGACTGTGTAAAGGTACCTTGCTGTGATTCATTTGTGTCTTTTTTTTCAAGTATCATACAAGTCAATTAGAGTTTCAATAGTTCACGTTCTGCTTGCCAACTATATTCATGTGAACATACATCTGCAGCATGTTCTGCGTGAGCTACCGTCTTCTCCAGTGCCTGCTTCCTGCTGCACAGCATTATTAGAAGCTTTCCGTAAGTGCTCTATTCATGTTAATCTAAATAGGTCTTGCAAGAAGATATCTGTTAGGGTAGTTGATAGGTTATATGTTTTTACCATAACTTTGAGAACTATTAATAAATATAAGCAAATTCACTATTTTACACGATATTAGAATAAACATTTGCAGTATGCTAGATACTGCATTTAACCAACATTAAATGCTATTTAAGAATACTTGGAGTATTTACTGCTTTGCACTCGTATCCTTGACCGAGTTACCAAGTACATCTTCTAAGAAGCATGGAGGCCTTTCTTCTGTGCATCTTTCTATGTCAGGAAAACTATGGATTCATCGGCTATTAAAGCAGCATAAGGTTGGGGAGGAGCATCTCCACCTTGGTGCTGTAAAGTGTATATCACTAGTTTTGAAGGAACTACTTCAACGTGCTGCACTAGATATCGCTCTAGAAGCGAATATAGGCCAATATGACAGCAGGAGACCAGGAGTTCAGTCCAAAACTCCTAGAACACAAGATATAGTCCAAGATCTTAGATAAGAACACTTAAATTCTATTATAGATAGGGGGTGGGGGTGCATAGTCTGGTTACAAACTAGAGGTGATGACCTCGATTTATGGCTTTGGGAAGCCTTCACGTCTCAACTTCTACATATGGCTAGAACACTTCAGAAAACATTACTTAATATTACTTAAGATTCAGTATTCTACTCGTAGCTAGAAGACTCAAAACAGTGGCTAGGGTTAAGAAAACAAAACAAATACTAGACTGGATGGACTAGAAGTATCGTAGTCAAACAGATTTCACTTCTGTTTTTTTCCTTCTACTTCTCTCTATTGTTCCTCATCAGTTATATTGGTGTTGTAGGCTAAGAGCCAATTTTAAAGGGTACATTGGACTCATAGACTAGACAGAAACCAGTAGCATTAAACCTAAACTATTTGAACATCTGACTAAACTCTTGTAACATTTGGTACCTTAGCAAGTAGAATGCTCATATCATGGCCATGGATTGAGGCTATCTTATCAGAAGTTGCAGTTTAACAGAGGTAGTTAATATATGAAATTTCATAATTTTATTCATTTAAAAAGATGGCTGTAGAAACCTAATGATTGGTATATCTTAGTTATCTAATGTTTTGTGTTAATTCATATTCTGCTCTTTACCATTCTTTTTCACTTCTACCATCCTTGTTTAGGTCTAGAGAGTAAGGAATCTCGGATAAATTCGATGCGTGCAGCGATGTCTGAGACATTTCCCGAGCCTAATAGGCGGCTGCTACAGAGGTCAGTCTTCTTTTTTGGGTTGAAAATGGGTAAACAATTTTACCTGCGGGGATATCATGCCAAACATTACATTCTAAATATAATTCTTTTTATGATCAACCATATGGTGAACCTAATAGTTTATGCAACTGGAACAGAACATATGTCTGTCAGTGGTGGAGCTTGAATGCAATTTTAGGAGGGGTCAAAAGTCCAGAACATAGTTGAGGGGGAGGGGGCTACTGTGCTTGTT